ACTGCCTAATGATGTTATCAGGTCCTTGACTTTTGTTTTCTAGAAATGCAATGTGTTTCAAATTAATCCTAGGTGGAATCGGTGAGCTTCTCTCTAAGCCACCTAATTTCTCCACAGAAGTTATACTTGTCAAATCTAAGGTAAAAACTATTCCCCTTCCACTTCCAGCCACGAACCCATTCTGGATGCCATTCTGAAAATTCGTAGGCTGACAAATGTACAAATTATGCAACTAGACAGTTTTTTGCATGGCATTATTCAGAACAATGCATTATCCTAACATTTCCTCCCTGGTGACATCACAGTCTTTTTTAGGAATGATGTTAATCAAATGCAATGCTTTGTAGCTAATCAGGACACAAACATGGACAGATTAAAACATTATTTTAATACTGACATTAGGGAAAAGGAACAGCAAACAGGAACATTAACTATAGACAAACTAGCAAAGTCGCTTCCCCATTGTTGATAAAGTGAATACTGCAATTAACAAGGTTAAAATTCAAGAGTAAGGAAAAACTATACTGTACATAGATGGTTCCATACAATTGAAACAAAAATTGTTAAGTAACTGTTACTACTCTTGTTCTTTAGGTAAATCACCTTGAAGACCTTTATTATACGTTCTACTCTTAACATGGTTCCCTATTGATGCTGACCATGCAGAAGTGACATGTAGGTATCCTGGAGAAACTTTCATCCTGACTGGTTGTTGTGAAAGCATGTTTACATTAGCAGGTTTCCAGTGCATGTTTGGAAAAATCTGTGGTACACCTGTTCCTGATACTACTTGTAAGCAATTGGTTAAACCATTTGAAACAGTGATTATATTTGACTTATATTTGTCTCATCCTATAAATACACAGAATGCTTCTCATAGTGGCAACTTTGTCAATATTGCTAACATTTGCTTAATGATTGAGGTTATTACTGTTGGAAAAACTGGAAGTATAAAAATAGAAAATTGCACACATCAAAACTGTATAAAGCCTATAGTGGCACATCCCATTACCTTGTCCAATGAATTTGAATATCCGTTGACTCCACCAGGACCAAGGAACAGACTTAGACTTCATCAACTTTAAGAAAACATTACTTCCAAAAGACATCCTCACACCAGTTCCAGTAATTGTGAACATAAGTACATAATTAAACATGAAAGATTTGTATCAGAATTCATGGTGGAGCTGTTGTAATCATTGCTAAAAAAGATGCTAAATGTTTTTTTAGCACATTCTGTGTCATATGAAACTTCATAGTTTGCAGTAATTAAACTTTCTTTTTGTATAATTACAAAGTTTAATTTAGAATGTTTTACTGGTACTGGCTTGGGCCTCTGTCTTCATTAGAAATGAGTAAAATTATTCTTACAATGTTGATAAGATAGTAAAACAAAAACAAACAAACAAACAAACAACAACAACACCATCAAATAATAATAATAATAATAATAATAATAATAATAATAATAATAATAATAATAATATATTGTAAAAACAAGCAACAATTGTGAGTTTGTGATAGCCTCATAAAAACACAACCTAAACATCAAAACCTAAACATCATAATTTTCATAAGAACCAGCTACTATACATCTAAAAAATGAGTTGAACTTTAAAAATAAATGACATACTGTATGTATTATGTCCATGTGGGCAGAGATGATGTGGATCTAGTCAAATAAATATTTCAGATGGTGGCTGTTTTCGAGACATAATGCATAATGTTGTAGAACAATCTAAGATTAAGTCTAGCTGGGAACTTTTCTAGCTGCAAAATGTCCTTAAACTTTATAACTAAGCTTGCTGCAATTGAGTATAAGGAATTATCCATGATATTAATATGAATTTATTTTTCACTTCAGTTAGACTTTAATTTTTTTCCATTATAAAGAAAAGGATCTACAGTATGGTATTTTCAGTTCTAAAATCTGGGGGAGTCCTGAAAACACATAGGACCAGAATTTGGCAATCTTCATTTGCTATTAAACTGTTTTAATTAATATTAATAATTCTGAATTGTGTGTGTGCACATTTCATTGCTGGCTGTTTGAAATGTCCCAAAGAACAAAAAACAAAAACACAGCTTTTGCACACAGGTATTTTTCAATATTAAAACACTGATTTTTCATTTTAACATTCATACATTTAGCAGTGTACAATACTATTTATTCACAGCATTTTGATTTGTTCTGGTAAGGGCACAGCATGCTTCTTTGCTGGCATCATGTACCGCAGTTTCCTCCAGAACACTGAGTCCAGCTCTTTCGACTTTCTGTCTTTCCATCTAACTGCTCCATTAGACTTCAAAAGAAGCCTCAAAGGCTCCGGAAAAGAGTCCAGGTCTGCCTTTGGTTCACACTGAATTATGATGATCTGTATTTTCTTATCAACCAGAGCATTATACAGACCAGTTACTAACTCATATTGACTTTCATGTGCTGGGTCATCCGCACTCGGTATCATTATCAACCTTCTGCTCTTGTCAATGTATTCCAGAATGGTGTCCGCAAAAGCTGAAAAACCAGGATGTGAAATTGTGATAAAAAGTTAGCATTTGGACCATGCTCTCTAAATAGTAAGAATATTTACTGGTGTGTAATTCCCAAATGCATTTGTGCATTTAAAACTAAGAGCAAAAGGTACTTCTTTAGACTAAGGGAATTTCAATGTCTCAATGTCATTGTCAATATATTCCAGAAATGTGTCTGCAAAAGCTGGAACATCCAAAATTACATCCTTGACTTCATAGTGGAAGAGTTAAAATGTAGATTATTTTAACAGTTTTTAGAGTAGGCGAAAAAATAAATGACTGAAAAACAAATGGAAGATGTTTGTACACAGGATTTTAAAACATCTTTATATTTTTACTGAAGTTTAAACTGCTGTAGTTGTTTAATTCTCAAACCATACTCAACTGTTATATCAATTTAATAAATAAATAATAAATAAATACATAAATAAAATTTATAAAATAGAAATAGAAAATTCCTTCTTCAGCTGCTTAATGGATGTTTTGGACAGGTTACTTGTGCTTTGATAGCACTTTCAGAGTACAATATAGTATTTTAAATTTAAGCTCCTGATTTCTTCAGCTTCCACACAGTTAAAATCAAGCCTAATATTTAAAATGATACAACCTAATTTATAAAGTTGCATAATATAGGGACTTACCCCCTCCAGGAAGGACATCACGTTCATATATGCAAAGCTGGTAACCATAGTGTTCCTCCAGAACCTCTAATAAGGACTTCCTTTCTTTTTCAAAAAATGATTTTGAACTTTTGATCTTGTAGTAGGTGACATAGGCATCATATGTTTTACCATCTGAAAGGTATCCATTCATCATATCCAAAGCATTAATAAACAATTAATGTGCCATGGATCTTGAGCTATAGTTATAATAGTGAACACTTTAAATTATTTTTCCTCAATAAAGAAAGTATTGTAATATTTGCTTTAATTTACCTGGCTTACTCATTTTTATTGGTTTTGTAACTAATAATGGCAGCTATAGAGTTAATTCTATGGTTAACAAAAACATTTCCTCTTTTCTTCTGCTTATGTAAACGGAAATAATTCTATACTTCTATTCATTCAAGAAAACAGATGGCCAAGTTAATATCCAGTTCTTTTCCCATTAATAAAGTCAGAACTCCCCAATAATAGGCAGGAAGTGAAAATGGCTGCAACAAAGGCTTGGAAAAGCATTTTTAATTATTGCATTTAACAAGTTTAACAATTTGTTTTTCACACAAAAAAAATCTTAGCTGGATTTAGAGCAGGATTATAAATATAATTGGTTAGCCCTTACTGTAATGAATTACACTGTTTTCAAATGCATATATAATTGTACAGTAACTACTGTACATTGTTTAGTAACAGGCAACTGTAATGTAATGGCCATGCTGTACTGATGATCCACAAACAAGTATGCAGCTCTCAAGTACTCAAAGCTCTCTACCTTTTTATCTATAAAAAAAAGAATTGTAGTTATTATTTCAGCTTAATTTTGTTTAAGGATCCAGAAACTAACTATATTTTTTTATAATATGCACAAATATTACTTTGCTGCATTTATAATATAAACACTGACATGCAGAGATAACTGTGTAGCCTCAATTCCCTAACTCCCTAAAATATAACTATAAGCAGGGTAAGAAATACCAAAAAGGATTTCAACAGCTGCAACAGATGATATAAACAACAAGTGATAGCAAACTACAGACAGGGTTTAGGACAGAAGACATTATGTTGGTAATCAAGTGGAAACAGTCTAGTGAGATGAAGGGACATTCAGACATTTTATGCACCAAGCTCAGATATGTTTAGAGTCCTGCTCTAAAAGTGGACAGTATAATCTAAAGAAATACACAATATAAATACACAATATAAATGTAAAATATACATTTTATATTACACAATATAAATGTAAAAACTCTTACCTCCAACAGTGTCATCTTTGCCTGTAATATTTCTATAGAGCAGGGCAATTTCAATTTTAAACTGTATATAGATAGCTGTGAAAGTGCTAGCAGAAAGGGCAAAACAACCTAATATTCCAAGCCAGAGATAAACTGTGCTGACACCTTGTTGATTAGTCTCTGAAAAATATGTATTACAAAAACGTTCAAGGCATTAAGTACAATCTAACAGCTTTACAAAATTATTCTGGGTGATATAACCTAACACCAAATAATAACAACAAAGAGGGGAAACATAAATAAATTGAAAAATGTTAAATAATGTATACAATTTACTCAGTGCAAACTGTTAAAACTCCAGAAACTTCAAATTTTATTACTCATTGTAAGAATGAAAATTTAGAAATGAGCCAGCTGTACGGGAATCACTGTTGATGTTTTTTTGGTTTTGCTTGTTCTAAGATTGTGTAATGCAAGGTCTGTACTTATGGATTTAACAGTTGTAGGAATTTTATGGACATCAATCCCCTTAAGTTTGTACAGAAAGTAAAAACACAACATGTTTTCTGTCAAGAAAGGCTGTGGAATTTTCAAGCAAATTGCTGTGAGAAGGAAAAAGAGAGTGTTTAGTGTTACATGATATACAGATGCAGCCATTTAAAGTGCACAAGGTTTCATATGGCATAGCACAAGAACTGCTGTGGGATGGTGAACAGTACCACGAAACAGCTTTTTTTTTTTCAAATAATCTGATGCAGGACTGCACTAATCTATAAAACTGCCCAGTGGTGTAATAAATCCTTAATATACCGCAAGGGCGTGTGACTGTCACGCAATTCTTATTTTAATTATAAAAATGAAATGTTTATTAATGCATTAATGCTTTCCTGCACTAACCATACTATACAGTGTAACTAACAGACATTTTCATTTTTTAATTGCATACAGTATACAGAATTATTAGTATTTGTATATAAATAGTAATTAGAAAATACATTCTGTTAAATTAAAAAGGTAAAATAATAGGTCAGTAGCTTTTGAATGATTTATGGTTGTGTACTGTAACCACTTCAATGTGAAGCATTAGTGATCCAATTGAAGAAATTCTTGCTTCCCCATGAAATGCCTGGGTTCAGTGCGGGCCCGTTGGGGATACTCTGTCTCTAATAATACAACATTATCTAATACACTTACATTTATATTACTTTATACTATTCATATTATTAATATGTGTAACATACTTTTCATAATTATAAAGTAAAATATTTATACACATTTCTTTCTGAGACTGACCTTTTGTTCTTTAATATTAGTAACAAACTCTGTTAATGAATAACAATGCCTGCAGTTTGCTTTCTCAGTCTGTCCCAAATAACTTAACTGAAGGGATAACTTCTATGTATTGGTTCCTGGAGGGTTACGTAATTGAATATGTGTCACAGATTATAAAGCACTTAATGTGCAGTTCAAAAATCTGAACAATGACTCTGCAATGCTATCAGCCCTCAAACAATTTGGGGCTGCATTAGCGCTTTCCAAAAAATGCCTCAAGCAGATGTCGATCAGTGCAGACAGGTAAAAAAAGAAAAAAACGTATATTTGATAAAGTGATAAATGAAACATGCAGCACCATATGATTGGTGTGTGCCTTTATTATTATTTTTTTATGGAACGATTCCCTTCATAACTTGAATCAATGTGTGACAAAGAAAATACTGGTCAAAGCCACTCTTCTAAAATGTCAGAAATTAATAAAGGTTCCTGAGGGTGACAAGGTAGATCAATGCTTAGTCTTCTAAAAAACAATATTCTTATAATTATTGAAAAGTGACCTTTTAAAAGTTTATGTGAGAGTTTTAATTTATAAATAATTTTACAATCCTTGAAATGTATTGATTATAAAGTGCTATGCTACAGTAAGATTTAAAGTATGTAAAATGTATATATGTATTGGATAGTGATCTCTAGATTTCTGATGAGGCCTACTCAAAAAATTAAATCTCGCTTTAATGTTCAAATACTAAGGATACCAATTTTAGCAAAGTCTGTTGAATCTGATTATTCCTAAATATAAACATTTTTACTAAATTACTAAACACATTAGAATTTTCCCAATAAAAAATAAGCAAGTGCTGTATTCATTTAGGGTTTGTTTGTTTTTTTATTTTTGTTTCTGTACAAACCCACAAAGAAAATGGTTGTAATGCATTCATTGGCTTTGATTTTTGATTGAGAACTTGATTCTTGATTATGAATCTTGGTAAATTCCCACCTGATAGCAGATACTATAATATGAGAATCCAGACGGCCATTAATATTTCTAAAGATGTAAAGAAAATGGGCCATTAGCATAACCTGTTTCTGGGTTGATTTACATGATAAAGACACTTCTGGCTACATTTTAAGCAGGGGGAACAAGGAAATGATAGGATTCATTATTATTTATATAATAAATTGTATACTTATTTTTTTATTACATTGTTACTATATACTACCCAACAAAAGATTTTTACAAATTTGAGTAAAACAGCTTCAGAGACTTAATTTAACTACCTAAACTTAACTTACTATATTTTATTCTTAAACAAAAAGTCTTTATTTGTTAAAAGTAAAACTTCTACACTGGCCCGGAATCAAACCCAGATCATTCACGTGATAGGTGTGAATCATACTACTCAACCAAAGCATCACTCTACTTGGACAAGCTAAATTAAAAACCACAAGCATTTCATTTTCCATTACAACACTGACAGCAAAATGTAGCTAAAACCATCATGTCAAAACTTTTCCAAAACAACTACAGTACAACACATGACTGAGAGAATTGTAAACGTTGTTTATCTTATTTTTTCAGCTACCTCTACAAGCTACAGTATAAACAGTAAATATATCCTATTTTTTATTCTTAAATTTATAGTGTTAAGTGTAAAATTTTTATTTTGAGATACAAATATTTCACTTTAGTTAAGATTCCATATTGATATTTCATGTTAAGTGGGTTTAAAGAAGTAGGACAATGGATTAAATTAAGCTAATGTTTTCATTAATGAATGATGAGTTCTTCTCTGGCCATGTGGCCAGTTAAGATTATTTTGGCAGTTTAACACACAATCGGAATGGCTGCATCTGTATCTGCTTTTTCAGTCTTTTTAACTAACTGCAAATGTTCTGGTCTCAAGAAGCTACTTAAATGTAATACATTAAGTATGTTGTATCTTGGGTGATCTGTGATGCACCTGAGATTAATCCAGTCTCACATACTACAAATGGATAAAGAACTCTTAAGATTTCTTCAGAAACTGTGTATCTTGAATTTATATATTTAATACATTAGTAATCAAAATAAAAAAATGTATTATGATACTTACCTTTCAGTTGCAATGTTATAAAGACTTTTCTATTTTTTTGTGCACTATCTAATTTACAAGTGTATAGAATATTTAGACATTCCTTGGTAACACTTTTAAATACCAGAGAGGAGACCATGTGATATTTATTATGAGGTTTATGTTCACTGCAAATAGAATATCAGAAGAAGAAAATTATTCACAGTTTTAAATACTAAAATATTCATAATTCTCAGTTGAGAAATTAATGTTGAAATGATATCATTCTGAATATAAAATTATACTGATGCATCTTACTAAGGTCATTACTAAATATTCAACCTTTATATTCAGTACATAGAAGGGATAGGAGTTATAATCAAAATATATTAAATTAGAAACCTAGAAATCCTTCTTACCTTGACTCTTTGCAGCAGACACTTTTGTTGCCATCACAGACTTCAACAAACTCTTTATTTTTCAGCCAGTACAACGTTTTCAACTTAGGTTTTCTATAAATGACAGCTGTGCAATTTATTACAATCTCTTTCCCTAAAAAAAGGCAAGTGAGACTTATTAAATCAAATAAATAAATAATAATAAATAAATAAATAAATAAATTTTTAGCACTTGATTCCAGATCTCAATATCTCAACCAACACTGTATCTCAATATCAAAATCAACGGACAATGTTTAAAAGGACTATGTTTTTTACAGTAAGTCACTACTTTCTAAGTGTTAGAGTATTACACTACAATAGCTACTGCAAAAGACTGTAGTACAATTGGTTTTAAAAAGTTCTTTTTCTAAACTTATTAAGAACAACACTTTCCTGAGCGTCAAAATAAACTTGGAATTATGGTCACTTCCAAATGTGACTGAATGAGAATAACAATTTGTTCAGAATATCATATTTAAGTAAAATCTGCTTCTGCTAGTATTTAGTGTGTTTTAGATTAGGCATGTGTAAATCATAGTAATGGTTTATGGGCAAATGCATCAGTGGATGATATGCAACAGTGAAGTGGTAATGTATAATTATATGGGCTTAGTGTAGTTGTGGGGGGAGTAAATGTACAGGGTTCTGGTGTAGTTGTGTAAATTCCTATAGCAGTAATGTAAAATGAATCGTACGGTACAGGTAAATGCATGTTATGTTATATCATTTCCACTTGTATTGCTTTGTAAGTTTCTATGTGCTTTCTATAGCTGCTTTTATGCAAGAAAAAAATCTGAGATATCAGATAATAAAGTATTATTGTACTGTATCATACTGTACAATGTTTTTCCAAGCAATTAGTTTGAAGTGTATTAGAACTGAACCACTCTCATTTGTTAGTGCCAGGTTTGTTCCAGTTTGTGCTGTTATCTTGAGATATAGCACCTTTCATTTTGGGTAATCATGTGAGAATAAACTTTTCTTTAAAAAGTTTTAAATTCATTGCTTTAAATAAATAGGCTACTTTTTAATATATAATATATAGAAACAATGTATAATGAATAAATATTATAATACATATTCATACATTATAATTAATATATATTATAAGATATATATCTCTGCTTTTTTTGACAGCCTTATAAGACCGCTGGTTGAAATGCTTCCCTCATATATCAAGGATACTAACCATGCCCTCCAACTTTTCAATAATTTCCAATTTCAGGGTCCAGAATGCTGAATTTATACCATGGATATCATGTCTCTCTACACCATCATTCCCCACAATAACAGTCTTACAGCCCTCAAGCACATGCTAGAAAAACACACAGTGCTTGATGCACCCACCCACACTGTAGTGCGTCTTGTGGAATTGGTTCTCATACTCAATGCATTCTCATTTATTAACCTTTTTTATCAGCAGGTTAGTGGAGTCGTCATAGACACCAGGATGGGACCTAGCTATGCCAATATTTTTGTCGGCTGGGTAGAAGAATGCTTCTTTGCTTCCTATACGGACTTTGTCCCTGACCTCTACAGGTAATACATTGATGACTGTGTTGGTGCTGCTACATGCTCTAATGACCAGCTAGAGCACTTCCTGCATCAATTCACCAACTCTCATCCATCCTCCCTACGTTGGGGAAACTGGAAGGAGACTAGGAAACGGCTTCAGAGAACATGTTAGAGCTGTGAAGATTAAAGATTTCTCCAAGCCAATAGTTTCTCATTTCACCTCAGCCAGCCATGATCACACTGATCTCTCTGCCTCTGTTCTCAAAGGGTTTATCAACTCCCACAGCAGAAAGACAACAGAAACTAAACTCATCCTGAAACTAGGTTCACACCTTTCCCCTTCTCTCAATTAAACACTTATTTTCATGTAATCTTCTCTGTTCTCGTGCAGGTTTTGACTTCACACCTTTCTCCACCCCTCTCCACATTGTACTTCCTGAGTGGCTTCTTTGCCTCTCCCCTCTCCCTATTTTCCAGCTTTTGTTCTTCTGTGCTATTTAATCTTTGCTGTCTACCCGGTCTTTCTCACACCTGAAGAATGCTCCACAGCCGAAATGTTGTGTTTCCTTTCTTTTCTTTTCAGCATGGAATAAACCCTTTACCTTTTCCATTGCAGCCTATGCATGCTGACGTAGCTACCTACTTAAATGAATTAATTAATATATTTAAATTTCCTTCAATTTTTTAAAAAAGTTTCTTTTCAGCACAATGTACTAAGTTGACATTAGTAGTTCATAACAAGTCTGCAAAACAAAATTGGAAACGCTACCGTATTACACAGACTTTAGTAATATTTAAAAATATTTTTTTTACCTAAACAAATTTTGAAGGGAATATCTTCCATATTGTATTTGAATAGGAATGTTTTTACACTTATACTGAACATCCACCCACACATTTTCTTTATCCAGAAAGGTGGAGCCAGAGCCTATCCATGAAAGCAATGGTGGGATACATCCTGGACGGCACACTAGCGAACTCGATGTAGATAGCACCCCTAGAAATTGAACTAAAACTAGTTATACCAATTATGTGACCACCTGAGAATAAAGGAATTTAAAGATGCCCTTAAATAGAAATCACAATCCAACCATTTGGAACATCTACCGTAAAGAAACAAAAGAGACACCGGATTAAAAATATTTAAAAAAACATTAGCCGTCATTTGAATGAATTTTACCCATATTAAAAGGTGCATTTGTAACCAAATGATGATTTGATGAGTCTGGAGATGCATAAGCTGGCTTGCAGTAATTCGGACCTGTGAATACTTCTAGATAACCTCCTAAATTTTTTTTTAGAAAATAAAATTTTAAAAAGGGGTTCTGTGTGAATTCCTTCTGCACAGACACAGGTGACATCAAGCTACTAGCAAACCACTAGCACTGGGTGGACCTATTGGAACGTCACCGGGACAGGAGTATGGATATTACTTAATGGATTTCTTTAACTTGGTAACTCTCCTTACTCATTTTAACATTACTTAGCTTGATCTAAATTAAACTGAATAATGTCGTAAATAGTAACGTTACATGTATGGGGTATCAAAAATGTAGTTCATATGTCAATGCATTTGGCTCATGCATCTAAATAAAAACTATTGGGTGCGTGGTGAGGCATACAATTCTTGTTCCCTTTAAAAAATAACAAATATTTTAGAAATGTAAAATTAATAAATACAATTCATAAAATCCTGAAGTATTGTAAATATTTGTTGTTTGTCTTTGTCCCCTCATGTCATATCTAAGAGTCAAAATATATAATAAGGCCTCAGCAGGACATGCAGAACAGCATGTTTGAAAGGAAGATTATCACGTCTATGTGAAACACTATGTACTAATTGATAAAATTCAGAAAACAAATGTCCTTGTCGATAGTTGCTATAAAAATCATTTGAGATGTTCTGCAATCAAGAAAAAAGTCCTACAGTACATAGGCGTTTATGCACTTGTGGCACCAGTACGCTGCCATACAGAGCTATCAATCTTGGTTAAATGTTGTTAAAGCTAAATTGTGCAAATCTGCAAATATATATTCATGCTTGCAAAATTCAATGAAAAATGTCCTTTAAGTTACATGATTCCATATTAATATTACATATTAAGTGGATTTATTAGGACAACAGATTAAATAAAGCTAATATTTTCACTAACATCTAACACACAACAAGTGCCACCTATCAATAATTTGTGGGCAGTGAAGATTCTTTGGACAATATCCGGCATGGAGGAAATTAGTTTTGACACACAATCTGAATATGTTAATTATCAGTAAGTAAGACATTGGCAGACTGGAAACAAAAGAAAACAAACATAGTAAGACGTGAGGCTGAATGTGAATGATATAATCTTTGGCTAGACGCAAGGCATTGAAGAGAACAATATAAGAGGAAGGTTTAAAAACAGAAGAATTGAAGAATTTAAATAAGGAATCCACAGAGTGAAAAAAGGAACCTTAAACTGCAAAACTGAATATGGACTGGATTAAGTTTGAGGACCAGAGAAGGATGCAGAATGGAACACAAACCTGGCGAGGACATAAAGCTTGTGAGTCTGGAGAAGTTTCCCTTTGTGTTTGAGATTTGTTTTTACTTTTTCAAAGGGTAGCTGCCCGGTGCAATAGAGAACTCAGCTAGGTGCTAGGTGCTTGCATGTTTTTTGTGAGTTTATATAAGAACAAAGCACTGGATTCAACATGGAAAAAAGTTATACAGTACTTAAGCAACAACTTCACCTATTATTACTTCTGCTAATAATAATGAAACATTTTAATTATGGGCTTATGAGTGGTTTTAAAGCATTAACATGTATATAACATAACCTTTCATATTTTACCAATAGAAGGCATTTCCGTTATGTTATTTTATTTTTGTGTTGTGCTGTAAAAATGGATCAGTCTGGGACAAGTGACAGAATTTCTACAATTCCATCTAAACAGTTTCAACAAAATTCACATGTGTATTCATCTGTGTATTACAGATTTATTCAAGTTATTGGCACTTACCTATTTCAACTTCTATTGTCTTGTTTTCTGCAGGGTGAATTATCTTGGGATCTAGGAGGTCTGAAGAATCTAAAATTAAAAGAGCTGTTTCATGTTTGTAACTGAAATTGCAATAGATCGAGAAATGTACATTTTGGTATACAATTATAATTTACAATTTCGCTAATTCCTATCATTACTGCTACACTACAATATTTCATGATAGCACTGACTGGTTGATGTCATGGATCCTGACTGCCAGGGTGATTTTGCAAGGCATTTGCATTTCTTACAATTTAACCCTGCAGGCAAATAGATATCAAATAAAGGAAACTGGCTGGAATTAAGACATGTATTCTTCTTTTATATATATATTAGACATTTATATTTTAAACAATCTATCAACGTACTATCATTATTGTTGCTGTTGAAGGAAGACTTGTCATAAACCAAACATTATTTTAAAGTGATCTTTGAGATCAGAGACCCTGGCCAATTGGTATGACTGCTTTATGGGGTAACAGTTGAGACATTTGCATGCTAACTGACCACTCAAAGGTGCATTAAATAAACAACAGTTTTTATAATTTGATTAACTCAATTAAGAAAAAGGGGTATATGATATGCAAATAGTATAAAATTTGTAACATTTGTATTACCATTACTGCACTGCAGAATTATTGGCACCCCTTGATAAATATGAAGGAAAAAGAAGTATAAAACAATGAGTTCATTAAGCACTGAAATACTGTATATTTCCAACATAAGGAATCAATTATCCTGAATTGATTCAATGGAATCAGCCAAGACAAAACAAAATATTACATTATAAATTATTTTCCCCAAAATAAAAGAAACACAGTTATTGGCTCCCCTATTTTTAGTACTTGGTGGAGCCTCCCTTTGTAAGATAATGGCAGTAAGTCTTTTCCTATAATGCTTTATCAAGTTGGTGAACACGTTGAGAGGGATTGTAGACCATTCCTTCATGCCGAACCTTTCCAGATCCTTGGGGTTTGTAGGTGTGCGCTTATGGATAGCCCTCATCAGCTCAAACCACAGGTTTTCAATAGGGTTCAAGTCAGGGGACTGAAATGGCCATGACAAAATGCTGACTTGACAACATTTTATTTTCTGTCAACCATTTCTTTGTTGATTCTGAAGTGCGTTTTGTCATGTTGAAAGATCTATCTTCGGCCAAGTCACAGCCTCCTGGCAGAGGCATCCAGGTTTTCGCCACAATATCCCGGTACTTTTGAGAACTGATCTTAACAAGGGCCCCAGGACCACTGGCAGCAAAGCAGCCCCAGAGCAACAAAGATCTTCCACCATATTTTACAGTAGGTATGGTACTCTTTTTGGTATATGTATCCCACTTCTTATGCCAGACATACCTGTGAAGACTCTCCCAGTCAAAGTGCCAATAGCGTTTGGCAAACTCCAGGCACTTCAATTTTTTCCTCTGCAACAGTAGGGCCTTTCTTCTGGCAACCCTTCCAAATAGCTTGTTGGCATAAAGGCGTTGTCTAATAGTCATTTTTGAGACGGGATGACCGCAAGATGCAACCAATCCTTGTATGTCTTTAACTGATACCTTGTGATTTTTCTTTGCCACCCTCACCATCCTTCTCACTGTTCGTGAGGACAAGATGAGCTTACATCCTCTTCCTAGCAAATTAACTACTGTCCCAGTGGTGTTGAATTTTTAAATTATTGCTCTGAGAGTTGATATTGGTATTTTTAAGGTTTTAAATATTTTTTGTACCCATTATTTGCTTTGTGAAGATCAACAATGGTTTGCCTCATTTCTGTTGTTAATTATTTGACCTTCCCCATGCTAATGGATGAGAAAAGATTTTTCTGGTTATGTTTTGTCATTTTATACCCTAGGGAAAGAGGAAGTCACTAAAGTACACACATTAGTTCCTAAAGACAAAATTGAAGTCAAACAAGTATAAATATATTATTTTTTCAGATGTCTGATTGGGATCTCTAAGGGTGCCAATAATTTTGGCACTTATATTTTTCAGGTAAAACAGCATTACTTTTTTACAATTGTTACGTCCCAGTGTGTGTTCTGTGTGTGTTTTTTCTATGTTCCACACTGTTGACCCTTGATTGTTCTCCCGTCCCCATTGGCCAACCATCACACCACTGTTTCAATATGATGTCATCATCAATCAGACCTCAGCCAATCAGAACACATCTTATTCAGCATATAACATTGCTGAGGTTTTCAGCAAGGAGAGGCCTTTCGTTTGACTTTGGTCCCGTTTGGTTTTCGTTTTCGCTTCGCTTCTTGTTATTGCTTCAGCTTCGTTTGTTGATTTGTTTTGCTTTGTGTGTGTTTATTTTCGTATAATTTCAGCTTTGTAGTTTTGTTGGTTTTTTGTTAGTTTCTTTGTACTTTCGTTTGTTTGTGTGTTCATCCTTGTTTTGCCATTACCTTGCCCCAGTGTTACATGTTCAACGTTTGTGTTCTTTTGTACCCTGCTCCTGTTGATTACTCTTGTTTTCCCTTATTTGTATTCCTTGTTCACTTGTGTTTTTGTGTGAACTTTTGTATATAAGGTTAGCTTAGGTTGTTGGGTACACTTACACACTTAGTTGATTTTGTATTAGTACACTAGTTTAGTACGGGTGAGTGCCATTTGTCTTGTATGGTTTTGGGTAGTCAGTGGAGGGAGTTTGAAGACGCCGAAGACCGTGTTTCGGGTTTTCTTTTGTAGTAAAATAACCTTCCCTCACTGTCCTAGCCAGCTCCATTTTGTTTGTTATTTTCTTTTCTTTGGCACCACTCTAGTTCCTTACCCTTATCACGCTTCCTAGTCCCTCACCAAAACCCCCCCCTGCTTCCAAAATAATTATCCTAAATGTTACACCCCTTTTCCCCTAGACACTTGGGGTCGTAACAACAATTGAACCTTAAAATGAAAAAAAAAATGTTTTAGATAAAAAGGTCCCCTAACATAGGAACATATCTGTTATTATCTATGTGGTTTATTTCATTATGATTTTTTTCTTCATATTTATCAAGGGGTGCCAATAATTCTGGAGTCCACTGTACATGCCTTAGACTACCATTCTCCATTCAAAAGTAAAATAAAGGCACATTACCTTTTACAACCAACTCTGTTGTTTCTGACAAATTGTAATGTCTATTGCCATATGTATATGAATATATAATAGTATATTTTCCAGCATGGCTTTTCATAAGACTGGCGATATTTATCACTTGTTCAGAGTTATATACTTGGTTACAGTCCTAGAAGAAAATTAAAAACAAAAAGAAATTAAATATATCTTAAGCTGCCAAAAATGTTCACACACGATGAAGTGTACAGAGTATTTACTTTATTTTATTGTGTAAATAAATGTATTTTCTGAAGCCAATACAGAAAGAAACTCCTTTGTCATGAAATGAAATGTCATTCTTCTTCTAACAGAAATTCTGAAAAGCACCTTTGACTGACACTGATTCTCCAATAGCTCAAAAAATACATTTTTTTTATATTTCTGTGCATATTTAAATTAGAGTATGAACAATGTAATAAATGTATGAGCAAGTACATTTGGGGAAGACTAAAAAGAAAAAAATACATTTCAGCTGTGAAGCTCTCCTTGGGCACTGTATGTAGAGGAATGATGGTAAATGCAGAATTTAAAGGTAAAAGACTAAAGAGCAAAAGAAAAACATTATGAGAATGGTGGGGGGTTTGGGTGGATAAGAAATCTATAGATGAACTCCAGGGGACACTTGGAAAACAAATATATTGTAACACTACAGGGTTCACATTGGCAGGCACCCTCACCACTGCCACCTCAGGTCAGCCCCCCACCATCAGGGACTTGAACCCAGGTCTTCGGCATCACTCAACAGGGACCCAGCCACTTGAGCCAAAGGGAAATCTCCCATCAGCCTGGTGGCTACGGTCCCTGCTGTTCATAAGGAAGGGCGGTGACGTCACCGCTCTGGTAAGCCGGCTCTAACATCTCACAATGGTGGCTGTATGCGTTACAATATAAATAAATCAAGAGATTTAGAAATAAATTAGTTGATTACTGAAGGATAGAGGTAAGAGTTACATTTCTTTTTAACTTTTCTGTGTAGAATTAACCATTACTCATTCCTATATCAGTTAATTATATCTCCTCTGTTATTATGATTTACAATTTTGGGAAAACAGCATATTTTACAATACTACTGCATTATGCAGTTGCCATACTGTCAACCAAGAATGTGCAGGATGCAAAGAAACAGACAAAGGTTAATTCCATCCTCTAAGGTAAAGAAAAAAAACTCTACAATATGAATGTGGGACCTTCTTCAAGTATTAGTAGTAATGTAGTGTTTCTTTTCCTTTCAGCATGTAATGAACCTTAATCTGTTTCTTTTCAGCTTTTAATCTTAAAATTGTCAGGGAAACAAAAATACAAATAAAATGTTTTAATAAAAAAAACAAAATCATAATATTATAATAATAGCAAAATATTAGAAACAGGAGCACTTCGAATACCTTCAGCCATGTAATATGAGATATTGAGAGAGGAATGTCCTTATCTTCACAGGACAGTGTAAAAGAGTTTCCAGTATTTTTCTTTATTCGATATAGGTCTTCCTCTGTGAAGCATTTTCCACCATACACTGTGAGGTTATACTTATTGGATGAGATAATATCAGTTCCATTGCTGCAGCTGAAAGCACATATTATACCATGTTTTACATGTGAAAAATTGCATTCAGGTGCAGACTGATTTTGAAAAAGACAGGAAAAGAAAATGGCTTAAGTTAATTAATAATTATCAATTTGTTTTATCTTTTTTAGTTATTGAGACTAAAAAAAATCACTAATGTTGAGTAAAACAAACAATTGCATCTTGATAGGTCCGGTTGTATCACATTCTTAAAGACCCAGATTAAGATTAAGGTCTCTGTTACTCTTGTCACATGCCCAGCGTTTAGAGTATTTTTAAAAATAAACAACACTGGAGGCCATTACTATCAAAGTGAATTATAGCACAGTAAATGCATAAGCACACAATTTTAGTGTTTAATAATAATAATTGCTTACACTTATATAGCGCTTTTCTGGACACTCCATTCAAAGCATTTGACGGGTAATGGGGATCCCCACCACCACCAATTTGCTGCATCCACATGGATGATGGGACAACAGCCATAGTGCGCCAGAACGCTCACCACACATCAGCTATCAGTGGGGAGGGGAACAGAGTAATGAAGCCAATTCATAGATGGGGATTATTACGAGTCCATGATTGGTAAAGGCCAATGAAAAATTTGGCCAGGACGCCGGGGTTACATCCCTACTGTTTTTGAGAAACGCCCTGGGATTTTTTATGACCGAGACAGAGAGTCAGGACCTCGGTTTTAAATCTCATCAGAAGGACGGTGCCCTCTTACAGTAATGTCTCTGTCACTATACTGGGGCATTAAGACCCACATAGACCACAGGGTGAGCGCCCCCTGCTGGCCCCACTAACACCGCTTCCAGCAATGTATTATCGTGTATTAGTACCCGTGTGTGTGTGCATTGTTTGAGTTATCCCACAAGGTTGAATTCTAATACCATCAAAAGAATCATTTTGTGACTTACTGCTACAATTAAGAATTGTCCCAGTAAATGCACAACCCCTACATTACTGGTGCCTCATGAGAGGATACTACAATAGTATGTTTAAAAGTTATACAGTACGTAAATGAGCTACTAGTACATTTGGCAGCTTTACAGCAAGTTCTAATGTAATGAAATATGAACCGTAAAGCAGTGATGAGGTAAGACTGTTATGAATGTTAGTCATAATGTAAGAGTGTAAATACCTATTTGATTTCAAATGAATAATAATAAAAAACCACAAGAGGGCAATAAAGACACATGGTAATAATTCTGTTCATAGCCCTAATATACTGATTAAGTGAAACAACAATATTTCCACTGTGCAATAGAAGCCATGTTTAAAATTGTATTTTTTTTAAAGGTATAAAACTGAGGATTTATCTGTTCCTTTATGCATTTGGACTCCACCAAAGCCAGTGCACCCATACATTGCATTGCACCATGTTCAACTAGGGGAAGGTCAGGGCTATGGTTGGGTAGGAGGTGCCCACATAAACCTTGGTTAGAGAAAGACAACCACTACAAAATATGTTGGACAGCCTGACTTCAAGTGCACTGTGAATTTTGAGTGTGCATGAGACAATTGATTGGCAGTATATACTTGCAGGCAAACCCATTATAATTTTAACAAAAATAAAAAAAGTGTAGCTCTGCTTTCAAATTTAATTTACTGTCTCTGCATTCAACTGATGCGTAAGCAAATTTTTAATTTGCTACTGGGTGAAATTAGTACACTTGGTTATATTAAATGGATTGTAATTTTGTCATGTCTTTCAAATAAGCTCATGCTCTCCCATTAACTAATGACCAGTAACCTAATAGTCATGTTTCTGGCATAGGGCAGGAAACCCTTGTAGGCATGTAAATAACAAGCCCACTCCTTACAGACAGGCATAGCCCATGAGCACAGAAGTGAACTTGGGATTCCACAGCTCCCCCTCCCTCTTCCATTAAAATACCCCTTTGCAAAACTGAACTACTGTGTTACCTTATGGCACATGTGTTCAGTTTCCCAAAGAAAAGATGTGGTGCTGCTGCTTCACAGCAGAGCACGGGGACATGACCCCAGAGTTGTAATTCTGAGTTGGTTAAGGTTTACACATATGAATTTAATCTAACACTTTGTGGTAAAACTATTAACTTTATGGAGAAAACTGCAAACCAAAACTTTCTGATAACCAAGTGATGCTGTGAAAAAGAGATAGTAAACAAGATAGATAGTAAGTAATCATTTTGATATTTGCTATAAAAAAAATTAAATGTACTGTCTTGTGATTATATCTACCAAATGTGGAGGTGACTAAATAGTTTTTCAGTGGCAGCAGTTTCAAGTTTATATCATATTTGAATCAATTTGAATGCAGTCAGGTGTTATGCAGGAACAGATAGTTTGCAAAAGTGAACCCTAATTTGCCTGATGATGCCTATGAAATTTTGAGATTACTAACTACAGTACACTGTTTTTAAAAAGGCATGCTGCATTTTCAGCATAAAGGTGCAATGCAGAAGCCATCTTGGTTTACATTAAGAACATAATTTTTGCAAATTTTTAATTGCATTAATCCCAAAATAATAAAAATCAAGTTTGATTTTAGTTGGCTAAACAGGTTTCCACACGAGCTGATTAAAACTGTTGGTCTTGGTTTAATATTTCAATGCCAGGAATTGTATATTCACACAGGTGTATATTTAACTATGTTGAAGAATGTGGGTACTCTCAAAAGTATAATTTCTTATCTTTAAAAGGATATCCTTGTCTTGCTGGTGTGAGGGAGAGAGTAAAACTGGCTGGTGATAAAGCATGTGAGAACAAAAAACAGCAGTTGAGAGGAGGGGGAGAATGAATATCAACACTCAAGTAGTGAAGTTTTCCTCTCTACCTCACTCCTGAAGACTCCCCAAAACATTGACTCTTTTCTTTTCAACATTGAATAAAACCTTTACCTGTGCCTTAAAGGACAATGAATGTATTCAACTTCAATGTGCTCTTCTATTGTATATAAAACTCAGTACATTTCACAAACTGATGATGGCAGTCCTTAAATCTATGAACGAGTCACTATTGAATTAAATATTCTCTATGCAACTGTGTGATTTAGAATAAATTCCTCAATAACTGTTCTCTGATACAACACTAACAAGGGTCCTGATACTATATAGATTCAGAGAATGTAAATATATATATAAACTGACACACTGATGATCACTAAATAATGATAAACCATACATACCGCTGGGTGCATTGATACAGTCCAGTGTCATTTAATGTGACGCCCAAGATAATGAGCCACTTCCTCTTTATAATTAATGAATCTCTGACACCTGAAGTTAGCTTCATAAAGCCTCCTGAGGAGCTGACAATCCAGTCAGATCTCAAACTACTGTCATCACATTTCACAGAGGAAGTGCATTTCAGAACAGCCAGCTCTCCTTCATGAGCAAACACTTCACTCTTGGAGCTGGGGGAACAACAATGTACTCTCTCTGTAAGAAACAGCAAATTAAATCAAATGATTCACTGCTAATATACAGTAGGCTGCAATCTGTTGTGGAATCTTTAAGTTTAAATGCAGGGGCATAATCTCCTGTTAAAATTCAGGTTCTTGTTTTCCACTGTTGGTGACAGTGGCTCACTCTGTAGCTTCCCCACAATGGAAATTCAACCCCTCTGTGCTCCTGCACACATTTTACATATCTGTTTTTTCAGGAACTGTACAGTACATGTGGGAATACAAATACTTTAGACTAGCTTCTAACTACAGCTAACTACATCACCTTCAGCAAGTGACTGGGAGCCAATATAAAGCCCTTTCCGCCTTGAACTACAGTAATGATAATGATGTTAATACTTAATATTCTGGACAGTTCAATGGGGTTTAACTGCAATAATAACTAAGCCATGTGATAGTGCAATCTATCTAGTGTAATCTCTTTATTTCAGATCTGCTACTCCCTACAACTTTCATGCCTGTGGTCTACCAACATTGCATGTCTGATGTTCAGTAAACATAGCAACTCAGCAATTTTGCACCAATGTACTGTATGTATGAAGCCTTTTCTAATGTAAACAAGGGTTTCTTTCCTTGTTTCACTGTTTCATTGTGCTATAAACATACTCAGACAAGTCATGGAAGTGCAAAGGACATCAAGGAAACTAAGTACTGTGAGCTATGTAAGTGGGAAGGAGTCAGGCATAGTAAAAAAAAACAAATTCATGCATCCAAGAGGAGTTTGCACATTTAGGAGAAATCTAAAATTGATTTTCATAATATAAAAATACAAAAGAACAAAAATTCTTTAATTCCATTGGATAGCTGATATACCTAATTTAAAATGCTTGGGACACTGGCAATTAGACTCCTGAAAGTCACCTTGGGATACTCCAATAAAACAGATGCTGCACCCCCAAAATGATCCTGGTAATCACATTCGAACACAATAAAATTATGACAAACCAGATAAATGAATTTAGTTACCTTTAAAAGCTGCAAACAGCACAATCAAGATCTGGAATATTATCTTCATGTTTTGTGAAAAATGCCTTAAAAAATGAGAAATATGTCAATAATATTTATAAGAATATATGTTAGCAAACACAAAATTGTGTTAATCTACAAAATATGTACAGTATATAAAACAGTATGGTTAGAAGATCTTTCACAAAGAAATGTTACAGTACTACGTCATATTGCATGACAGTTTCTAAACTGAAAGCTAAAGGACTTTTCAGGTATTTTCAGTTTCATCCTACTTTTCATACAATCTGCTGTTTTGGCCAAAGGTTGATCCTGTTTACATTAATAATACATTTCTTTCTCAACCAAGTGTCCTGCTTAACAAGTATATTACTAGCTCTGTTTTTGCTCAGGTGATGCAGTCAGAAATCTTATTTAATATGTTCAGGTTCCGTCCAATTTACTTTATTTGGAAAAAAAATGTACAAATTTTACTACGGTGCTTTGCATTTAAAAAAAGATAAAAACAGAGCTTGGGTTTATTTCACTCACAATGCACTCAGAGTATACATACTGTAGTACCTATCTAGAGTTCATATTATGGGACTGTTCTGTGCTAGAGCTGTAGTAAGTGCATGTGCCAGGGGCCCTGCTCCACAGCCAGTCCAGGTGGACAGTATCCAATCCCTGACCTATACTGTTCGATATCAATTGTTCATGGCCAAAAAAGTTTATTTTGCAAGACTGGGCAGAGAATGAGGTATCTTTCAATTGTACTTGATTATATTCATTTGCAGAGATTGGTTCTTCACAGAATCAAGCATAACTAGATGTTTTTGCATTTTTTAGTTTTATTTTGTTTATAATAGGTCAATAGTAAACATTTAAATTAAAAATTGGACAAAAAGGGGGCAAAACAGTAATTAGCATTGCTGCCTTGAAGCAGTGGGGCCCTGGCTGCAATTCTGGACCAGGTGCTATTTGTGTGGAGTCTGTACTGTATGTTCATCTGTTTGTGCAACAGTTTTCTTTCTATCTGAACATTATCAAAGCAAAATTAATTAATTTACTGCAAACCGCATAGGACAAATTAATCTATCATCTTCAAAAAGATGCAGTAATCGAGTAATCTATCATAAGGAGTAATTAAATGAACTACAAATTTAATTACACAGTTATAGTATGTATTCATGGTAAAGCAAAACCCTAAGGGCACTGTTGCCTTCATAGATCAAAAGGAAGGGTCCTTGCTTAAACATGTAAAATATTAGGATATGCAAAATTAAAGGTGATTACTTGTATAATGTAAATCAGATTAATAACTATCAGGATATAGTACATTTAGTGAAATAATGAGAGTAAATCAAGCTGTACAGTATGTAGGAAACTTTTCTAAATTTAAACACTTATTTTAAAGGGGACCTGTAATGCTGTTTTTATATTTCGAGGTTATAAAGAATCAGCATTGATGAGTGCATTTCAAACCACAATTAAAGTAAAATGTACACAGTAACTTGTAAAACCTTCAATTTACATCAGAAAATTTCAGAATGAGGCAACAAAACTTCCAGTGGCGTGATGCGGCCTTATTACATTGTAAACAATCAGGCTTGTAAAAACATTTCTTTTAATCCAATAGAAGTATTGCTCTCGATTTTGAGAGTTTTGCTGACAAATACCATTTACTTGTGAACTGTGCATGCAGATCACGTTGGAACATTCCTGTGGTGAAATTTCTGCTGCATAACCTGTACTTATTCGCTCGTATATCGCATTACATTAGTCAATACAGTGACTAGTGTACAGGAAGGGCTGCATCATGTCACAATTCATGGTTTCCACAAACATGGTGACGTACCATACTTTCGCAAAGTTTACAATTTGAAATTCATAAAAATGTTCTATAATGTCAATAAATGTATTTTGCTACTGAGATTTAATTACCGGTCTGAGAAATTGAGACTGCAGTTCCACTTTAAGGGATTCCTGATTGTCACTCTTTCTTCTGCTATGCTATACCTTCTCTTCAATCTTTTATTTCTTGTGTCAGCCCTCTCTCCTTTAGCATCTCACAATATCGACTAGATTTCCCCTCTCAAAACTCATCTCCTGAGATTACACCTTCATCTTATCTAGCTTCAAACCTACAGATCTTCATCTGCACTGCTCTGCTTTACATCTACAACAGACTCAAGATTGATTCAATTAATTTATGTTTGCTTACAGTTTTTAAGCCGTATTACATTTCTTTATTGCCAGTTACACTGCTACATTTACCATATTACTTAATCGGTTCATACCTGTCATTCTTCATTTTCATATCACAAACTTGCTGTGGAAGGTGAGTAATTTTTTAAAAAATATATAAAACACGAAAATGTTTCTAAGTCTTGTTATTATGTCATGCACATAATGATTTGTTGACGCCAGGCTTATCATAAGAATTAAATGATATGAATGGACAGTTTTAACCACTGTAGAGAGGTTCTAGCAAAACTGTATTTAAATTCATTCTTTACCAAAAAGGACTTATTCATTTATGTAATCGGAAACTACATAGGATGATTAATAAAACAAGTTTTCCAAAATGTCTAGCATTAACACAAAGCAGTAATTTCGAATGTGTATCACTACGCAGTACAATGTATGATAAATTCATCATTTCTGCATACGTTTTTTTCCGAAAAACCTATTTAAATTATTTTTAAGTAATTCCCTTAAATATAGACGTAATGCATCGTGAAGAAAGTGGTAGTTCCATTACGACTTATTTAAAAAACGTAAAGTCCCGGTCCAGTTTGCCCGATCCATTTCTAAAACCACTTGTTTAAATCTACTTCGATTTTGTGAGACGCAAGACAAATTTCATAACATCCGAAGTATAGAATAATAAAAATGTAAGGAACACCGTTTAAATAAAAAACTGGCGAGATCAGAAAATGTTTTTAATTTACCTACCTTAACGTTTCAAGTGTTAGTTGTGGTTTCCGCGAATGAGCGCTTTCAAGTACGAATAGGTCTGAAGTGAAACTATTGTAGTTAGCTGCGGTAGTGGCTGTTTAACAGGCTCTGAATTTAATTCCCATGCACGCGAAAGAAGCTACTGTACCTGTGGGGACAGCTCAGAGCACAGAATTTCTGTGAAACGAAACGTATGTTCGGACAGACTTTATTCCATGACGTAAAGTCAGGATACATGTAGTATAGATTGTATATTGGAACGCATACGGCCACCATTCAGTGTGTAAGAGCCGGTTTACCAGAGCGGTGATGTCACCGCCCTCCCCTGTGGATAGGAGGGGCTGCAGAGAGATCTCTCCTTAGCTCAAAAAGCTGCGTCTATGCTGAATGACAACGGAGGCCCGGGTTCGAGTCCCCGACGGTGGGGGGTTGACCTGATACGGCAGCGGCAAGGGCACCCGCCTGAACCCCGAAGTGTTACGTTACATGATACGTACTTTTGTAAGAGTATACAGTACCTATTTCTTATTATACACCTAACCATTACACACGATTGTTATTTGATAATAAATAAACTAATATTTTATTTATTCACAGACTCTGGAAATACATTAAAATGTTTTTAAAATATATTTATATATGATTTATATTTATCCTCATTCCGCAAATTAATAAGCATTCCATTCCACCGGAATTGCCAGCTGCAGTGTCTCTTCAACTTTCTCCTTAGATGCCCCCCGCCCACCAAACTATAAAATGGAGTTCTTTACCCTCTTGTTAATTTGTCTCTCTTTTTCTCCACTCTCCTGGTCATACCTCTCATGATTAACATGCCCATTGTAAAACAAAGTGCAATAAAGTTTTCCTGTGAGCTTGCAGGAACTCCTAAAGCACACCTCATCACTACATCTGAAATCGGGTAACGTAAAAATTATGCTTTCATTTAACCGTGGCTTTTAAATTGTAGCGACCCTGCACATTTCCTAAACTAGCTCCTAGCGTAATCGGGCAGACTTTGTGATGTTATTTTCAATTTTCTGTCTCCTTTGTGGAGTGACTAGGTTATTGTGTACCCCTGGACATTTTCTCCCACGTCAGCACTGAACTCTGTAACTCATATTGGGCATTGATTTAAGCAATGTCCAAGTGCCTTCTACTTCTTAATGATCAACTTCACATGGTCAAAGGAAAATCAGGGATCTTTGAATGTATCTAATGTTTTAAGCTATTTCGTCTTCATGGTTAATTTTTACTTGAAACTCAAACCCGATCGAAGGACTCCTCAGAAACCAGAGCACCGGAAGGAAACCTTGGTGAACTTTGGGAGAAAATACAAACCACACAGATAACTCCCCAGGAACGAAGCGTTAGCGAATATGATAACTGCATGAATTGTGAAAAAAATATATATTGTAGCGTTTGCAGGTTCTTTTCAGAACAAGGACGAGTGGAGATACGATTAACAAACAAGCATTAGCTTTATTCGTTTACAACCACACAAAACCAAACACAGGATATACACGCACATGAGGAGACTGACGGAACACGTACACATAATTAGGGTGGTAATTACCTAACAACACACTATACTTTTACAAGACTACACAGGGCACTCGAACTACTAGGACATTATTTACACAGGTAGGGTCAGCCGCTGGTCATCGTGCTGACCCTCAGACTCTCACCGGCTACCACTCCCAGCATGCCCAGCGGTATTACGAGCGCCTAGGGGCACTTCCTCCTCACCACCAGGCGAGGGCGTTACAATATTTTGCACATTTTTCTTTGACATGTTACTGGAGGGACAAAAACGAAACACTCCATAATGTATAGAAAATTATCAAAAATGAAATTGCGTGTTTCAGCTGGACAAGGCAGGCTGTGAACGGCAGCTGAGGAGTGGCCACCTGTATATAGTGGAACAAGGGCTGGAGACGCCCTCTTCCCTCTTGTGTCTGTGTACTGTAGGTGTGGTGCAGGGCTGTATCTCCCCTGTCCCTGTGTGTGTGTAACCCCCCTCAGCGTCTTTAATAAATGTCTTGCCAACCTGTGCCTCAGGCCTGTTTCTATTGGTGAACCCCGGGAGCGTTGCAATATGTAGCGCATGTGGCTGGGGTACGCAGCGAGGGGCGGGATGGGAGAAGTAGTGGTCAGGGCGGAGACTAGGAAAGCCGCTGACCAGTGCAGCTGACCCCTTGCCAAACGAAATACAGATTGGAGAAATCGCCTGGATTCCAAAGTGAATAGACCTGAATAGACCCCAATGTGTTTCTCTCTTTCTCTCTGGCGCTCGCTTGTTCTCTCTGTCACTCTCTGTCTCTCTCTCTCTGCTGGCATGTTGGCGCGGGGGTGCTGTGCTGGCTGTGCTGAAAAATTCAGTCGATGAGTGTCTGAGTCACTGTGTCTGTCCTGGTTGAAACCGAAAATACTACAATATATTAGTTATTAGAAACAGTGAAATGCATATACTGTACTTAATTGCGGCAAAACATCCCAGTAGAGACACCAATTGCTGTGATTAACATCATCTGAGAAGGAGGACCATTACAAGCACTAAGAACTAACACTGAGCACTAAGTGTCGCTGCAAGTGAGAAGTGAATTTAAGCACCTCATATGGAATTGAACACAGGTGTCACGCCCTGTACACCTAGAGAGCGCTCTATTTCTGCCCTGTTCCAAGTTCCCTGTGATTATTCATGTCTTTCCGGTGTGTCTTGTTGTGTAGCCTATTTGCTTCCTGTGTCTGCTCTGCTCCTTGCTCAGCATTGAGGGTACAGATAATCGTGAGACCTTTTTTTTGGGGGGGGGAATTCGCAGGGGTCAGCACAGCCGGAGTGCAATGGCCGAGCCTCGCCCTGGGTGAACCGATT